AGAGAATGGGTAAGGGCTTGAAATTATCTCGGGGGGAAGGTGTTAGGCACCCCCCAAGATCCACTAGTGTGGTTCCCGGCCATGCTATAATTGTGACTTTAAATATAAACAACAAATAAACATACAAGACAATTCTCAAATAACGATTGCAAGTAGGGGAAGTACAAAAGTTAAATAAACGAGCTGAAATTTGGGACTAGGAAATTTCATAATTTATTTAAAGAATATACGAGTGCAGAAGAATGGGAGTCAAATAATTGATACAAATAATCAGACAAAGGGATGAAATGGGGCAACAATTTGGGAGAGAAAAAAAAAGTACTTGGACATTTAAAGAGATTTTTTTTAAATGATTAAAGCAAAAGGCAGGGTTTAAAAGAACCGAAAACTGCAATTTAAAAATTCTGAAAGAGAGAAGTAAACACATAAAGAGGGAGGGGGTCCTAGGCTTATAAATAACATGGATCACCCACGCAACACCCGATAACCAATTATACACGTGGTGTTATCGCGTGATCATCATATACATGTCTACCCTTTCCCACCCCGTTAAGGTACTAAAGCGCGGAATGGTCTCGTTACTTATTGCATGCTACTACCTGCCCCAATCCTATCAGTCCCGGAGGTAGTTAGGACTACTAATCCTAGAGGGAAGGGATATTGGATTTTGAAGTTTAAAAAGGACAAAATCTAGTGCGACAAAAAAAACACATAGGAGCAGTTAAGGGGGAAAAACACATAGCAGTTAAGGCTCAAATAGGCCTCCTCATTCAAAGCAGAAATTGTTTAGCATGACTTACAAGTACTGATTAGGTCTTTAATTAAACTTACGTAAAGGGGGTGGCTGATTTATCACATATTTCAGATAAGAAGTCCGAATTAGGCCTGCCTGCTGGTTGTAATTACTAAAGACTGGTATAATTAATTGATTACCTAATGGTTTGCCTAGGTGAAACCTATAGGCATGATATCTAACAAGGTCAAACATACTGATTTTAAAGAAGATTACTGACTTTAGAAATAATCCAATTCTGCTGATGTTAACAACATTATTACTGATTTTAGACTTTGCGGATGAATCAGATTTAAACGATTGCTCCTATAGGCATGAATTGTAAGCGTTATTGATTCTAAAACGGTTATGTAAGTGCAGGAATCCTAAGAGCATGGTAACTAAGATGCAATTGATTATTTTTTAACTTATGGATTGTTTGCCTAATGACATGTGTATGTGCAGAAGTGCAAGAAACTTATAATCATGATTTCTATATGCAGAAGTGCAGAGACTTATAGACATGATTTCTAATGAAATGCATAACTTATAGAAAGGATTTCTAATGCAGTAATGAAACAACTTATAGGCAGGATTTCTAATGCAGTAATGAAACAACTTATAGGCAGGATTTCTATATGCAGATGCATAAACTTATAGGCAGGATTTCTATATGTGGATGCATAAACTTATAGGCAGGAGTTCTATATGTGGATGCATAAGTAAAAAACAGGTTGTGATTGCATAAATAAATACCTAAAGCATGATGTCTACCCACATGCATAACATGAGTGACCCTCCCCTTTTCACTATACACCCCCATAAGTTATTACAAATTATTACAACCCGAATGAATCAAGAAAGATAAAAAAAAATACATCAGAAATTAAAGTTCCAACTAAGGAGAGCCTAATTCAGACTCCTAGTCTGAAACATGAAATAAACCAACTTCCAGAGATCAGATTTCCAAAGCCTTTCTCATCCTTTGGGTGTGTCAAAGTTCCAAGGAGCTTCATGAACTCCAGGCAGTGCTTACACCCAAATACATTTGCAGGATCAGATTATAGTGCAGTGTGAAAGGGCCAGCCCTCAAATGTCCAAGTTCAGAGGGAACTCAAGGTCCCCAAGGCAAGGCTCATAGGAGGGGGGCGGAACTTAAAGTCTAAGAATAAGTGTAAGTGCAATAGAGGGGGAATTAGGGAAAGCCATGACAAAACTAGTGGTCATGCCCAACAATTAGGATGCTGGCACACCCCTGACCAGCCTGTCAGCTTGAATTTGGGAGTTAGGACCTATTGAAGGTCATGTTCAGACCTGGGCAGTAATTTGGATACTGCCAGGCCACGAACTTTTACTCAGCACACAAAAGGGAATGGGGGTATGGGGGACTTATAACAAGCAGTAAACATAAAAGCAGGTAATATACAGAACATGAGCAACAACGTAGACAGGAATAGAGCAGCTGTAAAGTAAACACATAGGGAAAGAGCTGAAATCAAAATTGAGACATACCAGTTTCAGGGAAAACAAATAAGTAAAAAACAACAGTCTTGAAAAGTCAAGTTGCAAGCAAAGCAGTACAAAAGTCTCAGCAGAGAATAGAGAGTTTGAAAGAGTATTGTGATTGAAAGTGTGTGTGTGAGAGTATGAGTATTGGACTTTAGGATTCAGAAGTTCAAAGTTCTAAAGTTGTAAAGATTTCAAAGCTTAAAAGACTTAAAGCCCTCTTCAATGCAGAAGGGTCGAGCCCCTTTTGTTGCATAGCAAATAAGCAAGAAAAGGTAAGGAAATATCATTTGTGATCAGTCTCCCTTTAGTTAAGGGATTCTGATTTCAAACAGGTAAAACAATTAAGGAAAGGGGTTTGAAAAAAATATTTTCCTAGCAGTATAATAGAGGGTAAGTACATAGAAGCTATTTAAGGCAACAAACTAATAGTACACGTTCTGTAAAAAAAAGGAAAGGGAATCAACCAGTAAAATCAAGATTTCAGCCTTTTACTTGAATGAATCAAGTCAAGAAAGGGGGTAAAACCAGTAACAATCAAGTGAACACAATTAAAGGAATCCAGAATCAATTAGTAGTTGGAAAAGCCTTTCTGAAAGAAGAGTTCTCATATATAAACACACAAATATGTAAACCAAGAAGAGACTATCAAGTTATTTAAAAGAGAATTTTAATCAAGGAGAAGTTCAGAAACATGGGCAAAAGATACAAGTTCGACCTGCAGACTCATAGTGAGTCTGAGAGTCCAGGGTCCCAATGTGGAA